TTGATATTACTTTTACCACTAAGTTCTAATTCGTTTAAATCACGTGCCTCAATTTTAAATAGCATTTAATGGAGAAAATACTGTTATAATTTTTTTATTCATCTTCTTTTTCTTTAAAATTTTATACAACCACAAAAAAAAATTACTAAAACAAATGACTTTTCACAATATATAAAATAGACATCACACATCCTCCACACTTGCCCAAGCTATTAGAGTTAAAGGGGCTTCGCAACGACCCAAGTGGTCTATGTTGTTATACTAAATCTATGTTTGGTAGGCATTTTTGTGGAGAGAATGCATTTTTTTGGTTGATGTGATGGGAAATATATAGTTGAAAAAGAAGGAAAAGTTATTGATGTGATGGAAAATATTATTTTATTGAATAATGTATAATTAAAAATGAGTAGACGAATGATAATGAAAAATATAATGTGGCTCAAATAGGGGCTAAGCCCATGTTTGGTTTGAGTCATAATCAAAAATTCATTTCAATCATATATTTTATGAGTCCTACAACTTTTCAACCACACAATTCATTAACTTCTATCAAAATCTACTAAAAATCTTATTTTAATCGCCACTAAACAGGGGTTAAGTCAATTTCTTATCACCTCGAATAATCTAGATCATTTTCAAAAGACTCTTTATTAAAAAAAAATCTTTATATATAATAGATAGCAGGCATGTTCTCCTGCCCACGGCAGGAGAACATTTGCCCACCGTGTCACGTCAGCAGTGCAATGATTTTTTTAATCTAACTTTCCATCTTTTTTTTACCCACCCAAAACCCACCCCGCCCCAGTTATCACCCCATCCCACCCTTTTATATTTAAATAATTTTCTTTATTTTTGTTTCAATTTTTTATATCATTTCGGAATATCAAACGAAGTCGAAATATTGTATTTTGAATATTATTATATCGAAGTGCTCACGACCTAATTTCTCCCATCTCTAACGGCATGCGAAACGGCCAATCGTAGCAAAAGTTAGCACTCGTCGAAGTAAGACGTTCCAAATTATATATAAATGGTTTTTTTATTTTTGTCTTAATTTTCGAGATCATTACGGGATATTAAATGAAGTCGAAATATTTTATTTTTAATATTATATCGAAGTGCTCACGACCTAATTTCCCCATTCTTTAACGACTTGCGAAACGGCCAACCGTAGCAAAAGTTACCACTCGTCGAAGTAGGCCATTTCAAAACATATAAACGATTTTCCTTATTTATGAATCAATTTTTGAGGTTTGTACTTCGACGAGACGTAACTTTTTTT